AAAATGTAGCATATGCATCTCGATTGATAACTAAACGCCATCTTGGATTTAGATGAGCCTGAAAGTTGTTTATCATCCATCCTAGTGTCCACTTTGTAGCACGTTAAAGATCTTTTCCCTAACTTAATTTTGGAGGGTCTATCTAGAACGCTGACAGTGTAAAGAAAGATTTTGTTTGTCTTTGAAAATGGCGACCCCCTTTTTTTGAATTGGCTACCACTTTGAAGAATTTAGGAGCCAAGTGGCTATCAGAAAAAAAAGTTAATTTCACACCCTGGAGTTTGTTTAACAATCAACAGCTTCTTTGGTTGATAATCATTTCCTTTTTGCCCTTGACCTTAATGTTTGATTTCAGGGTGATATTGCAAGAGGTTAAAATTTGTACTTGAATATTGCCTCATTGAACCTTGCTGTTCCCTTTTATACAGGTCAAAGGGCAGTTTATGGTATGTAAAGTGCATGCTGAATATATATTTTCCCAGAATGTGGGCATTTAATATATTAATTGAAATTTAAGCAAATCATGCTACACTGAGACCTTCATGTCTGTTATTTGGCAATGTTACTGACCCTTTAACTCCCAAGATCTGATTGTCAATTCTCCCCTTTAGCTGTGACACATTTCCTTTCAAAATAGTTATGAGAATTTAGTGTTAGATCAAGATAAAAACTTCTACCTGACAACTTTGAGTATTCTCATCACCTGTTTCCTGGATAATGTATGGATATTTTGGAGAGAAGGTACATGTTGATCAATTTTGGGAATTAAAGGGTTAAAAGTGATTGGATTGACTCTAGAGTACCAACAATTTTCATTTTAATCGAATATAAGTAATTCTGGAACTAAACCAGTCATGTCTTTTTTTACAATTTATTTTTATTATTTGTTTACCTTTCATTCTCTTTGGCTCATTACAATGTTTGTTGTTCACCCTCCTTTACAATTATGTTAACATTCAAGTGGGTTTGATTAAATTCTGGTGATTGGTCTAATTTAAAAGGAAAATAAACATCTGTCTTATTTCAGAGTTGGGTCTGACTGGGGTTCCTGTGTTTAATACCAATAACAACTGTTCATCTGCATCATCTGCCCTGATGTTGGCAAGGCTGTTGGTTCTCAGTGGACAGTATAGGTGTGTTTTAGCCTTAGGTAAGTCCTTACACTTTCTCTCATGAACAATTTTAAGATTTCTACCAAAGGTCATGCATTGTGCATTGTGTTATTTATTGATTTTGTGGTGTGAAGCAATATGTTTGTCATGAATGTATTAACCAGGTGGTCCTATGCATGATATAGATCTAATAGAACCAAGTTATGAAAAGTCTTTTTAAATGCATACACACCTTGGCCATGTCACATTGGCCAACAGATAGACAAACAACCAAATTAAGACAGTTTTGTTGTTTGTTTTTTTCTGTAAAGGTTTTGAAAAGATGGAAAGAGGCTTGTCAGAAAAGTACAAAGACCGTGTATCTCCTGTGAAACGTCACATGGATCATATGGTTAATATTGGTGCTGCTCCTGGGCTTGTCAATCCCCAACTAAACTCTATGACCTCAGATGTTATTAAGGTAACCTATAGTTAGCAGCACTGTATTAAGTGGTCACCATGTATTAGGTGCTGCAGAAACCTGGAAAAGGAAAAAGTCACTTTATACTGGGTCTCTATACTGTCTGGTAACACTTCATCTCTTGGCTAGCCTCACAGATTGGAATCATCCCCTCTAAAACTTATTACAGGCTATGTCCACAAAATCAGGTATCCTTAATTGGTCCATGTTCAAATCATCATGGCTGACAGATAAACTCTGATTCTTTCATTTGCATTCCCTTCCCTATCTCAATATTTCAAGGCTAGAGAAAACCCGTGTCTAACTTACACTTGCAGTGGATGGATTGTGTTATCATTGACTTTTCCTTCTGTCTCATATTTCAGCTGTTTGCCTATGCTGCACAAGAGCATAGTCAGAAATATGGTAGCACATTTGAACAATGTGCTAAAATCGCTTACAAGAATCATAAGCACAGTGTACACAACCCAAATGCTTGCCTTAGAAAGGAGCTCCCTTTGAACAGCATTACTCACTCAAAAATGATTTGCAAACCTATCACCTTTGCCATGTCTGCACCCACAGCAGATGGTTCAGCAGCTGCCATTGTGTGCTCAAGAGAATTCATGGAATCAAATGGAATGCAGGTTTGTTTTGAAGAATTCTGTTTTTTCCAGAAGGAAACTGTGTCTGCACTGTACCTGATTTTGAAGGCTTTTGAGGGAGCCAACCAAGAGGGGTGGGAAAGGGGAAGGTTTTTAGAAGCTCAAAAAAAACTACCACTAGTGGAACAAATCATTGTTATACTATCAAAAATAATAATTTTTTTTTAAGTTCAAATTTGTTGGCCTTAATGGAGTAAAGTATGAACTTTTAAGAAAAAATTGAAACAGATATACTTTTAGGCTGTTTTGAATTTGGAGTTTTGTGGTTCAGAACACATGCAAACTGGCCAGGAATATGTAATTATGGTCCTTTCACTGGGGGCAGATTGCATTTAATTTACAACCCAGGTTGGTTCACTTCTTTTCTTTCATAGAACAAAGCTGTAGAGATCTTAGCTCAGCAGATGGTTACAGACCTACCATCTTCATTTGAGAAGAGCTTTATGGACCTAGCTGGGGTCACCATGGCTACAAAGGCTGCCATAGACTGCTACAGATCATCAGATCTCACACCCCGTGACGTGGATGTCTTAGAAGTTCATGATTGCTTCTCTTGCAATGAGGTCAGTGGAACTCTCTTGATTTGTTACTGTGTCTAAAAGAGACTATCATGTACACCATATGTGAAGAACAGAGTAGGCTGTTCCAGTCTGTAGCTTGTGAAAAAAGAATGCTCAATGGCTGTTTTTGTAACTGAAGACTGTGAGAATGACCATACTAAGTTAGTTCCAATGTTTGTTTTTTGGTTTTTCAGTTATTTATGTACGAAGCCATGGGGCTTTGCCCGGTAGGGAGGGGTGGGGAGCTCATTGATTCAGCTGAATGGATCAGGAACGAAAATGGTAAGGCCTGCATATTACTGTTATACATATAAAATACTATTTTGAATAAGAGTTGTGTGTGTCAGTGATGTTCTTACCAAAATTTTGTCTGTGATCTATTACTCTACAGACCCACGGCAACATGAAATCTATTTGTTTCATAGGATAGGAAAGCAAAATGTTGTTAATGGTGATGGCATATAAGCGTCTGTCCTCCAATAGATCACAAGAAAGAACCAACTAAATTGCGTGCACATTTCAGCTCATAATGAAGTGACTTTTTTATTCGCTCTCCTTAGGCGGGGAAGTTTGTCGCATTGGCAGTAGATGGGTAGTGAATCCATCGGGAGGTTTGGAGTCGAAAGGTGTGCTTCTTGATTTGTTATTATATTGTATCATGTTAACTTTCTGAAAAGAAAGCAAAGGCGATACTAAACAAAGCTCAAGATAGTCTTAGTAAGAAATCTCTTCATCTTTGACCAAACAGAGCGCTTGCATGTCAACGATCATGTGGCTAATACGTTTTTTTCTCTTTATTCCCATCAGGACATCCGATCGGCGCCACAGGTCTTGCGCAATGCGCCGAACTTAACTGGCAGGTAGGTGTAATGCATGTTTTTCGGAAAACAAGGAAGAGCATGGGCAAGTGGCGGGAAAAAGAGGGTCGCGTGGGCACTGGGGATTAGGCGAGAAAATAAGGCACCTGCGCTTTCTTTGAGTTTCCATGTTACTCCTGAGGGACAGAACTAAGCGTGGTTTAAATGCTCCTAAATCTGCATAAGTAACTTTTTTAAAACTTGTCATTTAATTCTTGTTGCAGCTCAGAGGTGAAGCAGGAAAACGGCAGGTAGACGGAGCAACAGTTGCCTTGCAGCACAACTTTGGAATCGGAGGAGCTGCTGTGGTGACGATGTACAAAAAATTCAAATCTCAAAAAAGGGAACAGGTTCATGCCAAATTATAACAGAGTGTCTCACTTTCGACTGAAGCGAACTTTGAAACACAATTATCAACCATAGCTTTCCAAACTATTATTTATTGTAAAATACTGAACATAAAAGGCTGAGTGTAGTCAAGAATACCGAACTCAAGTATAAAATACTTTTTTTAAAAGAGAATGGAAGAAATTGAACGAGACATGACTAAATTAAGTATCTATTGAAAGAATCTAATGGGTAGTTTCTTGAAATAATTCTTCCATTTATCATTAAGGAAGCTGTCATTTTGTCTGGGTACGAGTTTATATCAGGGGGATATGGCTGGTCATGAAGGCAATTTGCGCCAAGTAAGCAACTGAGTGATTTCGAACGCTTTTCGATGATCAAAAAATGGCAGGAAGTCAACTTTTGTTTTCTGCCTCTCGGCCGTTTGATTGCGGCACTCTTTACGATGACTAATATACATTATCGACAGTTGATGAAATCAAAATTATTTTGTTATCCTCCCCCACCAACGCACCACCACAGTTTCTCAAGAAACTTACCCCCTTTATTCAATATTTGAACTTGTTGAATGAGAGATATTTTTAATTTTGTGTCGCAACCCGAAATGGGAACAAATAAAAAGTAATACAATTTTTTTTCCATTTTAGCCAAAGACTCACATTTATTTGCGCAAGAATATGTATATTTTCATGTCCATCATGTGTCTCTCAAGTATTCCCGGCATCCCTCTGGTAAAAGCGTGCGCCATTATTTGTTCAGCTTTGTTTCACATTTGGTACCACCAAGTTTTGCCAATCAAAGTTGAAACTATTTTCAGTTACGGGCAGGTATAAGACAAACTGATACTTCCACTAACATTTACAGTGAACTCCTTTTTTCGCTATTAAAATCCTTAAAGAGTGAACTTAAAGTTAAAGCTCAATTAGGTCTCACTAAAACATTATTTACACAAGAGACCTTTTATCGAAGACATGTTTGTCACTCGGTTTTCATTCACGAAATCAGGGATTTCAAAAACTGGCAAGTTTTTATCCAAAAGGCTGTAGCGTAGATGTAGTACCAGCACATCACTGAGATTCAGTGAACTTCCTCAAACGCGCTGCCAGTCAGACTGCAAAGTATGGGAAAACTCGACGAGATCTCAAATGTGCAAAGGCAATTTTTCCCAGTTAAATGTTTGGTAAGAAAGGAAAAAATTGCGCTTTCATCTACCATCCGCTGGAGACAGGGTTGTCACAAAGTACATGAGTAAAAATTGTGCAAAAGATTTGCCTCCATTCGGATATCAGTATAAGCTAGCGAAGCTCAATTGCCGGTTCTGATGAATTCCGCTTAAAGGCTCTAACCAATGACAGCTTTTGTTCAATGGCCACATTTTTCAGTTCCCGTTTCATATCTTTTTTCAAAAAAGCGTATACTAAAGGATTGACAGCCGAATTGATAATAAAACAGATGTGAATAACTTTTTTTAAAGTCTCTGAAGCGACACACATTTTGAATGTGAAACAGAAACAACGATAGTTCCCTCCAATGTGACAAAGAACGAAGAATAAAATGATTAAGAAAATCATCTTCATAGAAGCTTTCCTTTCTTTGATTTTCTTAACTCGTTTTTTCGGATGTTCACAAAAGTTAAACTTGAGTTGGGCGAGTAGAAGTGTCTCTTTTTGCGAAATGCTTCTCGCTATCAGGAAGAGATGTCCTGTTATCAAAACAAACGCGACACTTGGCACAAGCTGAAAAATAAGTACTCTAAATGTTTCAAAAGCAAACGTGAATAAGTCGTTTCTTCCTGAATATGTGAAAAATGAGGGTACTGTGAACAGGAGAAATGGTGTAATCCATGCTAAGGCGAGCGCAGACAAGAGTCGCTTTCGTGTCACGTAGGAATCGTATCTCAACGGCTTCATAACTGTAATATACTTATCCGTTATCAGCACGCACAAATTCACACACGAAGAATAGAGAAATGTATGGCTGATTTTGAACCACAGCCCTGAATGATCGGTGGATATTTGAGCGTTGAAATACGAAGTAAAAATCATGGGAAAATAGCTTAACCCGAAACAGAAATCGGCCAGTGCAAGAGAAAGAATGAACCAGTTCGTTTTAACATGTAGTCGAGGTCTTGTGATGATCAAATAAATTACCAGGACATTTCCAAGAACAACAAATGCGGTGAAAAACCAACCGAAGATGAAAAACCACATCGTGAGCTTGAAATAAACCAGCTGATCTGCATAAAAGTGTTCGTAGTTATATTTCGCCCTCTGTGGAAGACACTACGGCCGACCCTTGGCGAACTGCAAACAAACTTGATAGGCCCGTTAGAGGGGGAGGGTGACGCTTTCTAAGCTGACCGTCAGTTATTTAACCCCTCATATCCTTGCGAAGTGAAATTATTTACCTCCTTGAAATTTGTTGAAGAACATTTTTTTAAAGTTTATCTAGAAAGGAGCTTAGCCAAGCTGTAATTGATATGACAACAATTTTTTTGGCAACGTGTCGAAAGGAAATTAAAAAAATTTAAAAGCAAATATAATGAAAGGCAATTATAAAATTAGTTAAAAACGAATGGGAGCATGTAATGTAAGGAAATCGAATTGTTATAATTTTTGGTTGCCTTGCAATTGTACATATACGAATACCCTGAAAGAGCCCTAAAAGACAAAAAAATAAAAGTGCGCGCGGATCGTTTTTCGAAAAATGGTTGGAACCTTTTACAATAAATTTTGCCAGTTCACTGTTTCTCTTTACTCTACAGACATGTCTGGGGTGAACTAATCACTTAAACAAAAAATAAATGATACCATGATATTAATCATTTTAAGAATGCCTTTTTATTCATTATATACATTGTTATTACAATTTTTGTTATTAATTCTCTCGATGTTGTACAAACGCCTAACTTAAGCTGCAATTTTTACCTATTCACTGGTTGCTTGACAATAACAACACGTGATAGCTTCACGGTGTAATATCCTACAAGCACTACTTTCCGACATAAACACAAAAATTGGAGATATTACAGGAACAATTTTCATTCTTCAATCAGGAGGTTCATTCTAAAATGACATCAACGATCATATTAACATTATATTTAGTACATGATTTCAGGTGTCATAGTAAACAGTTATTTACATCACAAAACGCGTGCAATTTAAACCGCGACGCGTTTTTTTGCTCACTTTTCCAAACCAAACACATGTTTAATTAACCAAAAGTTGTAAGAAAAAAACATCGTTTTTTACTAAACCAAAATATGGTTTTCCACTGGCTTTTCAAATGTTTTCAATTAATTTTGTTGGATTTTCGCAATGTTGTATAATGATTTATAAAAAAATTTTAATTTCTCCGATCCCAAACATGAGAATCGTTTGCAATCACATCGCACACATTTTCATCAGCTCCCTCTTTATGTCCTTCTTCAAGACAGCGTAAACAACTGGGTTTACGGCCGAGTTCATAACAAAAAAGATGTGGATGGCTCTTTCCAAACCGTCAGAAACGATGCAAGTTTTGAAGACGTAACAAAAACAGCGAAAATTTCCCCCGATGTGGCAAAGGACGAAGAACACAATAATGAATATAATCATATTTACTGAGGCCTTTTTTTCCTTGCATTTCTTTCTAGTCGCATTTTGTTGCGGCTGAAAATTATAGCTGATTTGAGCCATGAGGGCCGCTTCTTTCCGCGAAATGTCTCGGGCTATGAAACAGAGACGGCAGATGACAAAAATAAATAGAATGCTCGGAACAAGCTGGAAGATCGAAACTCTGAACATTTCGAAGCCAAAAATGAGCAGCTCATTCCCGCCAGAATAAACGAATATGGAAGGTAACGTGAAAAGAAATAACGGTGCAATCCACGCCAAAGAGATCAGATAAATCACCTTTTCATTTGTCATGCGTAAGAGGTACTTGAGAGGCATCGTCACTGCTAGGTATCTATCTGCTGTCAAGACGCAAAGATTCGCCGTCGAGGAATAGAGAAATGTATGGCTGATTTTGAACCAATTTCCTGTGTGGTCGACGGGTAGCTGTGACGGGAAGAAACTTGAAACGAAAAGTAGGGGAAAATAGCTTAAACCGACGCAGAAATCAGCCAGTGCGAGGGACAGCACGAACCAGTTTGATGTTACACGAAGTTGTGGTCGTGTAATGATCAAGTACATCACAAAAACGTTTTCAAAAACAGTCAGGACTGTAAATAACCATCCAAAGATAAAAAACCACATTTCAATCATTGTTTTCGGATGCTGATAAAGTCCAACATTGTATATTCGAGGCTTAATTGATCGATATGACAGTGAACTATTCCTGACTGTATCTAAAAGAAAACGAACTGCATTTGCTTTTAAATCGAAGTCAGCCTCTTACGTTTAGGATCCAGGCACGATCAAAGCAGAAAAAATTCAACTGTTTTTTGCAATTAGCAATTGACGATAGAGTTAATTTACCATACGCAAGTTTCCTGAACCCAGCTGCTTCATTCGTGCAATAATTATGCAGCCAGGTGCAAAAAGTTTTGCAATTTCCTATTTTGATCAGCTGGATTTGACACAGGGTTTTTCAAAAAACCCTCAAGCATTTCAACTTTATTTGGCGCCTGTGACAAGGTTCTTGAACTTTCCAATGAATTTTGAAGGGGACCCACTCATTTCGTTCACAGAGAACGTAAAATTAGATTACTGTCGTGTTCTCTTGTCAGAGTTGTCAGGGGGCGATCACGTAATTGTTTCAACATCTTGAAAGTGTGCGGGGTAAAAACTGACGACACTTCAACTCCGCTGAAAAAAAATTCTTCAAATGTACCGTATAACATCAAAATCTTGCGGAATTTCCTGGTTGAAACTAATTTTTTCGAGTTCTGTTCAAATTAAAAAAAAATAACCAACCAAAAAATGTCAAGAATGTTTCATATTTTCTAACTCAGTAAAGCCATATGCAGAAGAAACCTACAGCTTATTAATAATTATTAGATATATGTATACTTCAATGTTAGATATATGTATACTTCAAGTTAGAGAAAAGAGGTCGAACAGACGCTTTATTCTCATGTCGAAATTTTAAAAGATTTCAATGAATGTAATCAATTTCCCCGTGTTCTTTCTGTGTGATATTTTTTGGACAGCTGTCCGCATCAGAGTAATTTTTTGTTCTTACGGAAGGAAGCTCCCTCAGACTTATTAGGGGTTTACTTTCGCTGACAGCTCAAAGACATCGGTAATTAACTACATCGATAGGATCAAAGTTGTTGAAAGGTTCTGGAAACAATATACAGCGGCAAAACAACACTTACGTCATCTCTTGACAGCGAGCTCATGCAAATATACAGGGCCTTAGAGGGATGATAAGACTAATGGCTAATCTCTTACCTTTGTTGTTAAAAAAACAATTTTTTGCGGTAAACTTTTTTTACGACCGACTGTTAAGAAAGAAAATCTTTAACGACAACAACGAGATCGCGGTGAGACAAAAACTTTCAGGAGCAGAAATATAGCTCCACACGCACGTGCGTTTGAAACTCGAAACTTTGAACATTTCAAAGTCGCTTAGCCATGCGCCATGAACGTGCATTTAAAAGTTTACACCTTTCTTTGTTGTCCTCTGGAAAACAGCGACATGAAATGGCCAAGCTTGCATCGTTGAAGACTGGAGGCCCTTAAGGAAAATAAATGACATCTCTCTTTCGATGACGCCTGCACAAGTCACATCGAAGAATAGGTCTTAGGTCATTAATGATCGTAAAGAGAGTAACCCGTTGGAAAAATTGATTCTTAAGACAAAATGAATTAGTTTTTTTTTAATATACCGTCGAATTGAATGTTATCCCCAGCTTCGCTGGCGATAAGTTTATCGCTGTGTAAGTTCCTTAATAACTGTAAACGGACGCGTTAGAATTAACAATAGCACCCTGTAGCTTTCGTAAATCCAGTGCCACAAGAAGATGGGGTCATTGGTCGTCAGTAAATTTTAGCGCTGATATATGGAACGGTATAAGATAAGCTTCGCGTCGGGGTTTCCTACGCTTATCTCGTGTTATCCCAACCTCCCGTGTGTTTACATCAGGCTATGTAAACACGGAAACCATTTTACATTTCTTCAATATTTGATGCCGGATGATTAAGTGATTGTATATACTCTTTTAATCTTATACATTTTTTGTATGTTTAACTAGTTCTTAATCTAAACTTAGTATTCTTCTGAGGACCCTTCTGTAAACCATTTCGTGACGTTGGCGTCCTCATTAAAGATTACTATTATTATTATTATTATTAGCTTGCAGCTGTAACCCCTAGACCCCTTAGAGTGATCAACACCTAATTTCTCCTTTCTACATCACCCCTAAATCAACCATTAAGGTAATGAGAATGAAGGCAATAACCGCTGACCTAAAAAACTCTTGATTGTTAAACAAATTCTCCTTCTGGTTGCCGCGTGAACTTTAATAAATTCTCCTTTTCAATACGTTAGGAAATGTATAGAGAAAAGTATGGAGAATATGCATGTTGATGTGAGGGTCAGCGAGGAATTATTTTCCGCTCTGTGCTCTGAGTTGCTCTTATAAAGATGACTTTCAGGCTATTTCCGTAAACTTTGAAAATGAATTTTTTTTTGCAATATTTGATGGCGAAATGCCTTTGTTTCTCTTCTTCAAAGGAGAAAGGTATATTAAGAGTAAGTTTCCACACAACCAACAGAATTCGTTATTGACTAAGAGACTTTCTCTTGTTGTTTTGTTGCTCACACCCAGCCTTGTTTTTCAAAACATATGGAGCCCAGGCCCCATCAGATTTACAAGTGGCTACGAAGGACTGGGCGAAACCCAGCACCTCACAGACGAAAACAAAGATGGTGGAAGGGAGTGATTTTGTGGAGGAAAGTCCAATTGCGAGAATATCTCGCAAAACGTGTTTATAGGCACGCTTTTTATAAGCGCGTTCCAAGCCCAAGATGAGCAGGTGGAGGATCGTACGGTTCGCCAGAGATGTGACTGTAGGCGCTAGTCGCCTCGTTGGAGTCACAGTTGTTCGTTTTTTTATGTCATGTTGTACAGTTTTTGTGATCCTGTGGATCGCTGTATTTCTGTACGTCAGTTTTTACTACGCTTACATGCCAACCGTTAGTCATGTAAGGCCAGTGTTCCTGCTTTTCAAGTAAGTTTGCCTTTTTTTTTCATTGTCTTTTAAGCTCGGTTATTAAGAAATAGGCGCGTCGAACTGTTTCGTGAATGATAATTTTTTTTTCGTTTCTGTTTACGTTGTTGTAGCTCTAATTGCGATGATTCTCGAGGGAAAACTTTATGTTCCTTCCCTGAAGCCAATTTATCTCTGAGCACTGGAGAACGAGTGAGTAAAAATTTGGAAGCAGTTTCATTGTAATGTTACCGCGAGTAAAACTCGTGACTTGTTGATCCCTTTCATTGTTCTGCACAGTGGTGTTGAAGTCCATTTTGCCCTCGCGCGAGGATTATCCAATGTTTCTCTGTACGATTTCAGAATTACGCGTAGATTAACTGGTTTAGTGTACTGGCTATTGTTAGTTCTCACCTTCACATCCTAAGCTGCCCAATTTTTTTTTTCCCTGTTTGATCCGTTGTGTCTTGAAATACTGTACACTACATGTTAGCGCCCCAAATTACGTTGATCGGGGCTTACAAAGCACTTATCAAATTATCACACTTTTCACTCGTTTTGTTTTGATAGATATTAATGAGAGGGCAGCGCTATCAGGTTTTTCTGGATCTTGAGATGCCACATTCTCCTGTTAATGAAAAGCTTGGTTAGTAATCAGTAAATGACTGCCAATAGTGATCTGTTCATAAATTCTCTTCACAATTTTAAGATGATTTCAAACAGATAGGTATTGAGAATTAGAGGAGTGATCAGCTTATTTTTAGGACTTGCCCAGTGCATGTAAGAAGAATTAGCTTTTTGATCTTGGCAGTTTAAGTTAACCTTTTCATTTAAAGATCTGTTCACTGTATGTTTCTCATAATTTTAGTTTCTCCTTATCATTTCATTTTATCTTTTTTATTTATCTATATTTTAGCTCTTTGCTGCAGGTATACATGCAAAATTTCCCAGTCCTAGCTTTCTCCAGCTTTTTGTGTGAAATGGAACAAACGCAATATTTATGTTGCAATGTATTGCACAACCAATGATAACAGATTTTGGGGTCTAACTCTATCAAGTGGGTTCTTGAGGTGGAATGAAATCAAATCTACTCTACAAGATAATGTTTTTAATACTGCATATCAGAAAAAGTCATTACTATGTTTGGAAATGTTTGGAAGTTGAACTTAACAGTAAGGTATTCAAATCAAAGTAACATTGGAATATCTTTTTTTTTCTGGTCATTTCTCCATTTAGGAATGTTCATGGTTAGAGTAACCTTTTTATCTGAATCTGGAAAAGTTTTGGCAAGTTCAGAAAGATCAGTGAGTACATATCGTAGTTATATAATTTTTTTCACTCAAGGGCTGAATTTCTCATGTCTTACAGGTTACGGCTATTGAAATACTGCACTTTTTGTCTATGTAAAATAATAATTATTCTCCAATGACCAAGTTGATGTTTTTGAATAATCCTCAAGACAAAGTTGAGGGGACAATTTGATAATATTCATTGAGCCTGAGAGAAATAACTGTACAGTTGTCCAGGTACTTTCAAATTCTGCTGTAAATTTTTTTGTTGTTGTTCAAACTGTTCTGTAAATTAAGATAGCAGTGAGCATTTTCTTTTATCATTGTTGTTACTTGTATCTAGAAAGGCAATTAGTTTCCACCAGAATATAACAAGATATTTTAAATACTTTTGAGAATTGTTAGGCCAAACTTGGCAGCGTCCTTTGTACTCTTTGGAATTGAATTTTGTCAGTAACATTGACGAAAAGCAAGGCAGCCATTTTAGAGTTTAATCTCACCTCAATAATCTCCTTGCTGGAGGTGATTATAGTGGTGACATTGAATGCCAGTGGTGATTATGGTGAGATATGATCCAATCCATGACCATTTCTTTAATCAACTGAGCTATCATAGCAATATGTTTTTTATTCCTTACTTGAACAGGGCATGCTTCATTACAAGTCAGCCTTGTTACAATCTCTTGCCACTGTTTTTTACTCTCTGCCAATGGTTTTGGGTTTCACTGAGGAGAAACAGATTGTGCAGATAAACCTGTTTGAAGAATATGTCGAGGACTCGGTATGTATATGATTTTGTTTTGAACCAGCTTTTCACAATCTCTGTTTATCAGTTTTGGTTACTATTGATTGTCCCTATGATTTGTTGATAAGAGCCTGTAGGTGACCAAAACCACCAACTAGTCTGCAATCTTCAGCCAGCTACTGTTACTTCATTTTTCAGTTTTTATCATCAGTCTAGTGCTACTTGTCAATCTCAGCATAAAATTATGTGAGCAGCATTGAGTGCCAAATAGAAATTAAAATAATTTTCTGTAAGGGTTCCTGTTCTCAAACCATGCAAAATTTTATGTTTTTACATTGCTGTTTTTGCAAATGACAGCTAAGAATGCACACAGTTTAAAAACGCATGTGCTGGGCTATTATTCTGCCCATTAGATATTTTTTTTGTCGTGTCCTTGTTGCTGTCACCGTGGTAGTTTGCTCAATGTCCCTAATGTGTTAGAGTGACTAGCATCTAATTTCTCCTTACAATATCTCCTGTGAATCAAACATTAGGGTGATGAGAATTATTGAAATGATCAACAACTACAGAAGCTCTGGATTGTTAAGCTAATTCTCCTTGTCAGCACCTTAGCAAATGTATAGAGAACAGTATGGAGAATATGCATACTGATGTGAGGTTGTAAGGGGTTAAGGGGATGGATGT